AGTAGAAGAGTTTTAACAAATATTTTTTCAAACAAATAAAAAATCTCTTCTGACCTTAAAAGCTATTCTAAAATGGACACTAACACATGAGTCAAATGATAAAATCGGTTCATGTTGCTGCCCAGGAAATTGCATTTTGCCTTGTATTTGTGTTTGTAGGTTTGGATTTGTAAGGATACATGCACAAGAGGATAATCTCGTAATAACATGAAAAGGAGGGTTATGAACGGGGAAGGTTCTAAGTTCTAACTTATCCATTTTGATGTTATGTCATGATCAAATGGACAGTTTTATGACCTTTTTTTCGTGTTCAGTTCAATCATTTGGACTCGAGAAGACCCCTTCTTAATGGAAACAACCCAAAAGTTGAGACACACTAGTTTGGCCCATATTGTTTTTAGACCCGAAATCACTTTTTTGGTCTGTTGAATATTTATTTATTTATTATTATTATTTTTTTTTTTGGGTCTGTTGGACTTGTTTTAGGATTCCTTCTATTTATAGGGTTTATCTCTGCTATAAATACATGTATTGGAACAGCAGTCAAAATAGTATTTTAATATTTTGGAAAGGGCGGTACCTATCTATTCCCTAGTGAGCAGATGACCGATGTGATTTTCCAAAAATAATAATAATAAAAAAAAAAGTTTATTTATTTATTTATTTATTACTTTCCTGACCTTAAAATAAATTATACACAATGTGTGCAATTCTGATTGGATCACTTCATTAAGTATTGTTCTTTTGGAAATAGGAAATGAGACAAACAGAATTTTTTTCCCCCTAAGTATTTCACACAGGAATAAAGAGTTGAAGCAACTAAAATTCAACAATGTTATTACCAAATTCTCACAAGAATCGTACTATTCAAGTTAATTAAGTCAGTTTAAGCTAATGTTTTACAAGACACTAAACAGATGTAGATTTGTGGGTCTTACCTAAACAAACTAACTAAATCAAGTCTAAGTCAAACTTGAGACTATTTAGGCTCGAGCTCTTTGTTATAGGCTCAACTCGTATTTGGGCTCGGTCGCGGGATGGTGACAAGTTCAAAAAGTTTATCTCGGGCTTGTGATAGTTCTAAAAAACTTGGCCTCAGTTCAACTTGGCTTGACTCGTTAAAAAGAAAAAAAACAAACTGAATTCATGTTTAAAATCGGTTCATACTCTTTTTCGAGCTTGCTAGGCTCCTTTTAGTAAATTATTGCATTTTATTTTATACTAGTGAAGATTAAAGAATTCTTTAAAAATAGAAACAAGTATAAATAAGCCTATGTACAAGTGTTATATGAGCCTATATTTACGAACTTAAATGAGCCTACATCTGCAGAGTCCGACGTTATTCAAAATCGATCAGTTCATTTACTAAATAAAATTGAAAAATAAATTCGAATTTAACTCATTTGCTTAAAAGAACATGTCTGAATCAAATCCTAAATGAGTTTTACCCTACTTCTTTTTCTTTTCTTTTTTTCAGGCCCAAATCTTTAATCACGCAACCTTGAACCCCAATCACATGATTCCTACTAAATGCATGTGTTGGACCCGACATGCAGAAGATATGGACTAGGATAGGAATTGTTATTTAGTTACTCTTTTTAAAAATACATTTGACAAACCGACTCAGTTGTATATTATTTTTTTGTTAATGACCTTGGAGCCCAAGTAATTGTCAACTATTCCAACTCATACCATGATACTTGTTGGATTGCAAGTTTGAAAGCAATATGGTGTGTGTGTGTATATAATAGTGGACAAAAGTTTATCAATAAACCTGACCGATAAAGTGGGCAAGCAAACCCACCGAGTTCCGACGATGTTTTCTCTGTCAGAGATGCCGTCAACGACTTCGAAGCTATTCTCGGCCTACGCCTCATTGGCGGCGTAGATGATGCTGGTTCGGTCCATGGCCAACGAACTCATCCCCAGCCCTGTTCGTATCTTATGAGCCACTCTCAGCCTGGATCTGTACAATTTTTCAGACTCTTCGTCATCCTCTGACCTTCCGTGTATGGCATGGATAACCTTTACCTGACCGCCCTTCACCCGTCGAGGGTTAACCTCCCGAGGTTTTACGTACTCCTTCGTGGCGAGATACTCCACCAACTCTCCTCTCGCTATCATGCTTTTTACCTGTCGCTGAAGGGACCTGCAATCATTGGTGGTATGCCCATAGTCTCTGTGGTAGGCACAATGTTTGTTTTTGTCCCTCTGCTCCAAGGGTTGTTTCATGGGCTGAGGAGTTGCGAACCTCGTCTTATTCTCTTGGAATAGGCGCGCTAAGGTAGTACGGAGAGGGGTAAGCCTGTCCTCTGTCCTTCGCCTCTTCTCAGGCGCTTGGGTGACTTGTGTGGCGGTATGAAGAACCTTCTGCATCCTTGTGCTTGCAGCTTTCTCTCGAGACTTGTTTTCCACTGTGACGAGGGTAGCGTGCTGTGCACGGTGGGCTACGTTTTCCTCCAACCGAATGTAGATTTGTGCCCTAGTGTTCAAAGTCTGCATATCCGGGGGGGGAATATTTGATCAAGGATGTGTGAAACTTGGTTCCCTGGATCATTGCCAACTTAAATGTTTCGATTGCCGTGGCAGGGTGGCAATCTACTATCTCCGAGGCTTCCATGTTAAACCTGGATAAGAAATCTTGCAGAGTTTCTCCCTTCCTTTGCCTTATGGTGAAAAGGCTGGCGATACTTTTCTTCTGCTTCTTATTTCCGCAATACTGGGCTAAGAATATAGTGCACAAGGTCTCATAATCAGGGATAGACTTGTGTGGCCTATTCTTGAACCATTCTAACGCTGCTCCGGTTAAACTGGTAGGAAAAACCTTACACATCCACGGATCGTTATGATCGTCCAGTGCCATCTTTTGCGCATAATGATCGAGATGCCGAGAGGGGTCTCCTGCCCCATCGAACTGGGTGAAGGATGGCATAGTGAACTTCTTTGGTCTCTCCACAAGGTACACATCGTCAGTAAAGGGGGTCTTGACCAAGGAGTTCTTGTGCTCTCTAGCCATCTCGGCTGGTGTCTGAACTCTTAATAGCTTCTTTTCGTCGAAGGCATCTTGTACGCGTGCGCCATCTGGAACGCCATTGGACCATATCGTAAGCCTATGGCTAGACTCGGCCTGTTCGTCCTGTGTGCGGCACGGGAGATTATCCGAAGCAACCGCCTCGGACCTCGTCCCTTGCTTTTGCTGAACCTCATTAGGTCGAGCCCCGTTGGGTGGTGTCCCGTTGGCCGGAGGCTCGTGAACTGGAGGTAAATTCTGGGTGGGGGGTGGTGCTGCAGCATCGCCTGGTGGTAGTTGTAGCGTTAGCCTGGCCATTGCCGTGTGCAGCGTATGAGTCTGCTACTGAAGCGCAGCTATCTGGGCGACACTCGTATCGTTTGCTTGCCGGAGTGTCTCAAATTGGTGCAAGAACTCCTCTCGCATCTTTTGCATCAATTCTATCTGTTGATTCATTGCTGACTCTCCGTTTGACATTCCAGATACGACTAAGGATTTGATTTGAAGAACAAGTGGGAGTATATTTTTATACGATTCCCACAGACGGCGCCAAAGTGTAGGTGCAAAATTTCGCTCAACCAATAATGATTGAGAAAAATAAAACAACTCACTCAAAAAACAATAAGAATAAATAAGAACAATGTATAGAGAAGCGTAGAATTGCTTGATCCCTTTATTGGAGGTCTAAGCCTCTATTTATATACAAAAGATTGTAAAATTATGGTAAGACTCGCGTTGCTTGCCCTCCAATTCTTTCTATATAAACATTCTTTACTAATAGAGTTCTTTCCATTGTCTAATTTTCCATACATAGAACTTGCCTTGTACAGAACTTCCTATCTCAGAATTTTCCTTCTACGGTAAATCCTTCAACTGGTAGGACGTGTGCATTCTTGAATAACTGGGCTGAACATACTTTGATCCGGCTGAGCTTGAATAACGGACCGGATGTTAAATATTAACAAGTTGGGCTGATGACCTCTTGATTCGGCCTTGATGGAGGTTGGAGGACAAATAATAATGGTCTTGGGCTATAAATACCCTCAATTTGGGCTTGAGCATGATGGGCCTTATATGTCCTTGGAATGTAGACATGTGTAATGATGACGTGTGCTTTTTTTATTGGAGGAAGTTTTTTTCCCTCCACAATAGTTATTAAGTTATATTTTGTATGTCGCGTGACTGTGCATGATCAATTTACTGGTGAGATATTACCGGCCGATCGCCGGATGGAATCATTTGCAACAAAATTGTATAGTTTAGAGGGTTTTTTTACGGTTTTTGTAGTTTAGGAGGGTTTGTTACTGATTGGCCAATAGTTTAGGAATTTTTTTTTTGCATTTAACCTTAAAAATACAACAATTTATTTGTATTAAAAAAAATTGAATGATTAAATTTCAGATCATCCAATTCGATCCGTGTTGAAATATGGATCCGTGTTGAAATATGGTAATGTGTGCAATAATGGATCAAATATTGAATATGTTTCCGATCATATCTTCGTAACACCTCACATTTGCAGAAAAATAATTAAACTATCAACTTTTTATCTGTATTGATCATTTTTTAATATCGAAAGTGTAGAAAGAAGTATACCCAAAAAAACATTTGATAAAAATACCTTCTTACCGAAAAAAAAATATTGAAACAAAAAAAGGTTTCAAGGATGCAGAGGCTGAGTCTTCCGAGTATCATCGATGAAGTTTCATCTAAACCTTTTTAAGATCACACAAGAGGCCCGTTTTCACTTGCTCTTCCCAAATCCCAAGACAACGGTGGATCAAACTCCATAAGCAATACACTAGCAAAGCCAACGAACTTCATATGGGGATTTATATAGTTTCATTGCATCTTCCCCTCTTTTTCCTTGTTGCATCTCTCTCTCCCTATAGTCTTTGGGCATGGTGTCTATATAAATAGAGTGAGTCTCCAAGACGAGAAAGGCCAAATTCACCTATTTCTATTTCCAACCATGTTTTCCCTGTCAGAAATGTCCTCAGCCATGTCCAATCTGTTATCGGCCTGCGCCTCATTGGCTGGTTCTCTGGTGCTGATTCGTACCTTGGCCAAAGAAATCCCGGACCCTGTTTGGTCTTACCTCGATTCAGGCATTCGCTACCTCTTCACACCAAACTCAAATCAACAAACCATCGTCATCGACCAGCATTGCTGCGGATTCTCCTTCTCCCCCAACCAAATCTATGATGCCGCCGAGATATACCTCCGCGACAAGATCAGCCCCTCCACCAAACGATTCAAAGTCACCCAGCCACCCAAACAGAAGAATCTCAACGTCGCTATCGAAAAGTCACAAGAATTGTTCGACAAGTACGAAAACATCAATCTCAAATGGAGATTGGTCACGGTCGACTCCCAATCCCAATTACTCGTTGGTCAACCCGCTGTTGAAAAGCGATCCTTGGAGCTCCGTTTCCACAAGAAGTTCAAAGATAGAGTACTCGACGACTACTTGCCTTCCGTTTTGAAAAAAAGCGAGGAAATCAAGGACGGGAATAAGGTAGTGAAACTTTATACCCCGAGTGGCGGTCAAGTTCCTGGTCTCGGAGGAGGAGCTTGGGGATCGATCATTCTGGACCATCCGGCGACGTTCGATACGTTGGCAATGGAACAGGAGATGAAGAAAATGATAGTAGATGATTTGGACAGGTTCGTGAAGAGGCTTGGCTTGACTCGTTAAAAAAAAAAAAAAACAAACTGAATTCATGTTTAAAATCCGTTCATACTCTTTTTCAAGCTTGCTAGGCTCCTTTTAGTAAATTATTGCATTTTATTTTATACTAGTGAAGATTAAAGAATTCTTTAAAAATAGAAACAAGTATAAATAAGCCTATGTACAATTGTTATATGAGCCTATATTTACGAACTTAAATGAGCCTACATCTGCAGAGTCCGACATTATTCAAAATCGATCAGTTCATTTACTAAATAAAATTGAAAAATAAATTCGAATTTAACTCATTTGCTTAAAAGAACATGTCTGAATCAAATCCTAAATGAGTTTTACCCTACTTCTTTTTCTTTTCTTTTTTTCAGGCCCAAATCTTTAATCACGCAACCTTGAACCCCAATCACATGATTCCTACTAAATGCATGTGTTGGACCCGACATGCAGAAGATATGGACTAGGATAGGAATTGTTATTTAGTTACTCTTTTTAAAAATACATTTGACAAACCGACTCAGTTGTATATTATTTTTTTGTTAATGACCTTGGAGCCCAAGTAATTGTCAACTATTCCAACTCATACCAGGATACTTGTTGGATTGCAAGTTTGAAAGCAATATGGTGTGTGTGTGTATATAATAGTGGACAAAAGTTTATCAATAAACCTGACCGATAAAGTGGGCAAGCAAACCCACCGAGTTCCGACGATGTTTTCTCTGTCAGAGATGCCGTCAACGACTTCGAAGCTATTCTCGGCCTACGCCTCATTGGCGGCGTCGATGATGCTGGTTCGGTCCATGGCCAACGAACTCATCCCCAGCCCTGTTCGTTCCTACCTCGAATCAGCCATCCGCTACCTCTTCACACCCCTCTCCAATCAGCTCACCATCGTCATCGACCTTCAATGCGGATTCATCCGCAACCAAGTCTACGACGCCGCTGAGATCTATCTGGGCACCAAGATAAGCCCCTCCACCGAACGATTCAAAGTCAACAAGACACCCAAACAGAAGACACTCACCGTCGCAATCGAGAAGGGACAAGATGTGATCGACACGTTCGGAGACATCAAACTCAATTTGGAGATTCGTCTCTATTGAGCCCCAAAACGGTCACAATCACACCGGTGAAAAGCGGTTCTTCGAGCTCTCTTTCCACAAGAAGTTCAAAGACAGAGTACTCGACGAATACTTGCCTTTCGTTTTGAACAAAGCGAAGGAAATTAAGGCCGTTGATAAGGTGGTAAAGCTTTATACCAGAGACTGTCCGTACGATCACGACAACGACGAAGGTGGTGGTCGCGGAGGGGTTTGGGGATCTATCAATCTGGAACATCCGGCGACGTTTGAGACGTTGGCGATGGAGCCGGAGATGAAGAAGATGATAATGAATGATTTGGATAGGTTTGTGAGGAGGAAAGAGTTTTATAAGAAGGTAGGGAAGGCGTGGAAGAGAGGTTACTTGTTGTATGGACCGCCGGGGACCGGGAAGTCTAGCCTTGTCGCGGCGATGGCTAATTATCTGAAGTTTGATATTTATGATTTGGAGCTGACGAGTCTGTACTCCAATTCCGAGTTGAGGAGGATACTAGTGTCGACCACTAACCGATCCATAATTGTGATTGAGGATATAGACTGCAGTGTGGAGATGCAAGATCGGCTGTATGGGAATGGGATGGAGCATTCTGACACCAAGGTTAGTTGATACATAGCGCATTTCATTATATTCTCTTTATAGCATAAATTTTGTAAATTTAATGTGATTTATATTTAGGGTAAAGGGCAAAAAAAAAAAATAAAAAAAACCTCTTAATTATTTCAAAATTTGTAAATAACTCTTTGAATTATGTTTTGTACATAAAATCCTCTAAACTATCACATTTAGTTGCAAAATGTTCTATTGCCTTACTTATTTTCATTAAATGACCATAATACTCTTTTCTTATTGTATTACACTTCATATATTTTTCTTGTTAAAATAAATTATGAAAAAAATTCATACTACATTAAATTTAAGTTTGCCTTTAATTTTTAAAATTAATTATTTAAATAAAAATTTTAAATAGAAAATTTTGAAATAATTTAAGTAATTTCTTAATTTTCGTGAATATATTGCATTAAAAAGAAGATATTTTTAATTTACGTAATTTATTAATTTTTCATGAATATTGTTTGAAAAAGAAGATATTTTTTTATACAAATTTTTAAAAAATTGAGTATAATAAGTTAATCATTTTAGAAAATGATAGCTACATATCTATTTATTTTTTTTCATTTTTATAATCAATTGATACTAATTATAAAATTAAGGTAAATGATATAATTAATATTTAAATAAGAGAAAATATAATAAAAAATAATTTAATAAGAAATGAAAATTTTAATAAGAAATGGTAAAATAGTTTTTGTGATGAATTTGTTCTTAATTGTAACAAATAAATAGTTTTGTTGGGTAGGGATGGGGGTGGGGTGTTAGGGTGGTAATTACAAAAAGCCAATAATTTAAGGGGTTTTTTGCACTTTACCCTTGTTATTATATAAGTATAAAAATTTACACCAACTCAAAAACAAGTCCTATAATTTACTGAAATCCTAAGGTTGGATTGAATTATGTTAGGTGGTTATTAGTTTGCAATTTAGCTACTCCTTAAGTTAATGTATGCTTATGTGCGTGCATGTTATTCTTGCAGTTGACGCTCTCAGGCTTATTAAACTTCATAGATGGACTATGGTCAAGCTGCGGAGATGAGCGGATCATTGTCTTTACCACTAACCACAAGGATCGGCTTGACCCTGCTCTATTGCGGCCTAGTCGCATGGACATGCATATTCACATGTCATATTGTACCACTCAAGGATTTAAGCTATTGGCCTCCACTTACCTTAGCATCCGAGATCACAAGCTCTTCGACGAGATAGAAGGCCTCGTAGAAAATGTAGAGGTCACTCCAGCTGAAGTTGCCGAGGAACTAATGAAGAATGAGGATACTGATATTGCTCTTGGTGGAGTTGTAAATTTTCTCAAGCGTAAGCAGATGAAAGCCATGGAAGAAAAAACTAGAGAAGTTGAAACACAAGAAGCCAAAAGGATGAAAATTAATATAAGTGAAGAGGAAACCGTAAGGAATTGTAGAAAAATTAGTAGAAATGGCAATAGAGCGGGTTTGGGGCGTGGGATCCCAGATTCATTCTCATCCCCATTTCCAAGAGCAGGACAAAGACTATACCGGGGACGGGGACGACGAGGACGAGGACGGGGATAGTAAAGTACTTTTATAATTGGATAGTAAAGTACTTTTATAATTATATTACAAAATCATATTCGGGAATAAAATAAAATTGAAAATGAGGATGTATTTGTATCAATAAAAGTAGTTGTTGTTCACAAGGATGATTAAAATCAAATTATCAAGTGTTGAAATATGAATTTGATTTTGTACATGCAAGGTAATGTGGAAATGGTATCAAATGTTGAGTATATAGAGTAATGCATGTGTGATCATATCTTATTAACACCTTACATACATAATGTATATTATGAAAAGTATACAATTTGCTACATTAGTCCAGGTATCCATAAAAACCATCTGCATAGCATGCTGAAAAGTCAAAGCATCATTCAAATGGCACCCGACTATAGCTTATGAAGGCACTAATGTAGCGCATTGAAAGGTCAAAACAAGGCACACATTGCACCAATGGGGGCCATAAAAACACCCACTTGGCTCTTTGAAAAGTTAAAGAAAACGTTGGCATTTAATATGCCATGTTATCTAAATAGGGAGGATGCATCCCTTTGGATTAAATCAAACTTTGATATCAAGAGACAAATAAATAAATCTTAGGCAGCAGTTCTCGAGTCGAAATCAAAACTAGGCATTACATAAGATCACCAAAATTCAAAAGTCACCATATTCAAGCTTAAACTAATAAACCCAGACGTTACTTAAGTTTGTCAAGACTCGAGGTCATCAGATTTGATCTTAACCCCTAACACCATGTCAGGTCAGCAAACCTCAAGACAGTAGTACAAATTAGAAGTATGGTTTGAGTAGGGATCTGATCACTTAGGCATCTAAAGCCATCATGACCTACTAATGTAGGCATGGGTCAAGAGACCAAACTCATTGAGAACCAATGGGTATAAATACAACCGTTAAAGTAAGCATTAATGGCTGAGCAACTTTCCACTTCAACACACGGGACAAACATTCCTACCACCACTAGAAAGTCTCAATGACTAACCTACTTCTTCTACTTCGTTCAGATCATCTATGGGTTCCTCGCATTTATGTATTAATATCCTATTTATTAGTTTAATTTTAGTACTCCAATAAAAATAAAATAAAAAATAAAAAATAAAAAACCCTACGAGTCCCATCCTTGTGACCAAGTTACAACTTACAAGTCTTAGCCCTGATTTTTGTTAGAACAACTCTGTATATGTATTTGAATTTGAATGCTTAAGCTAATTAATCTAATGGGCTTAGGAGGAGTGAATTATATGGAAATGGGCTTCTTATATAGAGGCTTTGGGTAGTAAGGAGTGGACCAAGTTGCATTAATTGGTCAGACGCTATCTGTTTTTAAGAGAGCACCTTATAAAATTGCATTTTGCTATAAGTTAAATTGCACTTTGCTATAAGTTAAAAGGGTCAAGTATAGAAAATACTCTAAAATATACTTTATAAGGCATATCATAGAGCCCTTATAAAATATACCAATACATTATTTATTTGGATGCATTGAAATTAATTGTTTACTATTGTCTTGACAACTAAGTGTATATTTGCATGGATAATCAAAGTGGATTTCAGTCTTCCATACAAACTAAAACATCCATTCTTTTTTCTGATTATGCACACTGCATAGGCGCACAATTATTTATTGATGGTGATAGATTTATAGTTATTAGTTAGTTGTCTTATGCACGTTGCACAGACGCACGATTATTTGTTAGTGTTGATAAATTTATAGTTATTAGTTAGTTATTTTACGCATACTGTACAGACGCACAATTATTTATTGGTGATAATAGATTTATAGTTATTAGGTAGTTGTCTTATGCACGCTGCATAAACGCACAATTATTTGTTGGTGGTGATAAATTTATAGTTATTAGTTAGTTGTCTTATGCACATGGCACATACACATTATATTAGTTGTAGAATTTGAAAATATCGGGTGAAAATTCCGCACTCTTATAAAAAAAAATTTAGCGTGTGAAACTTAAAGTGCCTCGCATTTGAAAATTCGCCTAGGGCCTTTCAAAATTTTGGGAATCTCAGGGCTGACCCTGCTCTCATGTGCAAAATGCACCCCCAAAGTTTCAATTTGGTGCAAATAGGTCCCTCTGACAAATTTAAACACTAAGTTGACTAAATTACTCTTTCTAAACCATTTTATAAAATATATAAAAATAAATAATTTTATAAAATGACCGAAAAAGACATTATTGGAGGATGCCCCTCTCGTGCAAAAAATACCTCTAAAGTTTCAATCTGTTTTAAATAGGTCCTTCTAACAAATTTAAACCCTAAGTTGACTAAATTACCCTTACTGAACTATTTTATAAAATATATAAAAATAAAAAATTATATAAAATGATTGAAAATGTCACTATTGGAAGAGGCTGGCAATGGATAAGTAAAGATAAAAATAAAAGTATAAAAGAAAAGTAAAGATAAAAATAAAAAATAAAAAAAATAATAAAGTGCAAATTAAAGAAAACAAAATTTTTCTAAACTTCGAAAACCATTGCATATTGATATTGAGATTTTTTTTTTTTTTTTTTTGTTGAATAGTGTTGGTACATAAAAATAATAATAATAAAGAAAAAAAAATTTATTAAAAAAGAGTAAACTGGAATCTCAAAAAATTCAAATCCTTGCTTTACAAATTCTCAAAGTTTTTTTTAAAAAAATGTTAAGGGATATATATAGAGAAAAAAGTTTCAATATATATATATATATATATAAGGTAATGTGCACATAACACTCCTATAGTATGAGATTAATTGCATATATACCCTGTTGGGCATTTTTAGAAGAGTAAAAGGGCAAAACGGGTATTACAGCACTAATTTATGTCAGAGGGGGTATTTTTTTGCACAATGTGAAAAGATTATGAGTGTTTTTTGCACATTTTTTCAAATATGGGGTAAAAGAGTAAACTGGAAACTCAAAAAATTCAAATCCTTGTTTTACAAATTCTCAAAGTTTTTTTTTTAAGAAAATGTTAAGGGATATATATATAAAGAAAAAAGTTTCAAATATATATATATATATATATATATATATATATATATATATATATATAAAGTAATGTGCACATAACGCCTATACTATGAGATTAATTGCATATATACCCCTTTGGGCATTTTAAAAAGAGTAAAAAGGTAAAACGGATATTACAATACTAATTTATGTCAGAAGGGGTATTTTTTTGCAGAATGTGAAAAGATTAGGGATATTTTTTTGCACATTTTTTAAAATATAAGATAAAAGTGCTATCCTAAGTATACTTTTAGGGTGTTTTATACGCTTGTCCCAAACTAAAATTCGTCTTTCTCCTTTTTTTAATTTTTTCTTTTCTTTTCTTTTCTTTTTGTTCGAATAACTCATACTCCGTACATTTTAAAGACCAGATTATTGACACCTAGTGGTTCAAAACTTGAAATATATTGACGATCTGGGCGGGTTAGACTTCTTTGCCCTTCTCCACACTATCTCACTCTGCAAAACCCAGATATTTACTTCTTAGGCTTGTTTGTGCCGGTCAAAAGGCATTTCACTCGAACGTAGCGACCTAGGGTTAGGGTTCCAGAGATTGTTTTCCCAATTCCTACATCTCAAGGTAAGGGCTACTGCAATTGTCAATTGGTTTAACTAAAATCGATCTATATGAGCGATCTATTCAATTTATTTGTTATTCCTATATTTATATAGTTTTTGGTGTTACATATGCACCTTTAATGATCGAATTGTCAGAATTATCGTACACTCCTCGATCCTTATTCAGATATACAATTTCAATTTTTTCTTTGTAGAAATAGAAAGATGGATCCCGACTCAGTTAAATCGACTCTGTCCAATTTAGCATTTGGAAATGTAATGGCAGCGGCAGCTTGTAATTATCAAAAGGTATTTGTTGAATCATTTTCCCATTTTTTCTAATTTCGTAAATACTTCCCTATTTACCCTTTTTCATTTTTGAACATGAATTTAGTTTTGTCCGGGAAGTTCCTATTTGATATGTATTTAATATAATCTATCATCTTTCCCATTGTTAGTCTTTTGTTATGTTTTACTTCAGTGTGACAAGACTTGCATACTCACGGGTGAGCCGCTGATGTGGTCCAATTACAAATGCCCAAATAGTCTGTCATTACAAAATTAGGAAAGTGATAAATAAGGATAATAATATTTTTAGAATAAATTCAGTCACCCTCCCTGATTTCCTTATTTATCACTTTCCTGATTTTATAATTGCAGACTATGTGTGAATTTATAATTGGACCACGTTAGCGGCCAGTAGAGATGACCTACTCACTGGTTAGTAGGCAAGTTTTGTCCATATATATATATATATAATTAGGGACAGAAAATACAATTTTAAGACTCAGAAAGGTTAAATTGACTATGTAAGGAAAATGAATAGTGTAATGTTAATTAGTTTCACATTGCTAGCAGCATATTGCTATGCTGATTGTTATGGTGTTTCATTTGCCCATTCACTCATCTTACAGGAATTGTTATCTCAAGAAAGGGTACAGGAATCTACCTCTGTTAATGAGGAGGTCGATATTGATGAGCTGATGGATGTAAGTTGTATAATGCTTGTATTTTGCGTATTACTTGCCTAGAAAATAAAACTATCTACTTTGCTTGCTTTGTGTGCATCTATCTTTTTACTCCATGTTGTGTTTACCTGCAATTGGTGATATCAGGATCCTGAACTGGAAAAATTACATGCCGATAGGATCGCGGCTCTTAAGGTTAGCAATTCATTCTTATCAAATGCATCCACATGCAGTTTCTTATTTAGATTTGGGGTAAACTATCTGAATTGGAAAAATCATTATGCTTGGATTTGTTTGAATAGAAAGAAGCTGAGAAGCGACAGGCATTGAAGAAGCAAGGACATGGAGAGTATAGGGGGATAACAGAAGGGGACTTCTTGGGTGAAGTCACTGCCAGTGAAAAAGTGATCTGTCACTTCTACCATCACGAGTTCTACCGTTGCAAGTAAAGCTTGACTCTGAAATCTCTCTCTCTCTCTCTCTCTCACTCATACACTCACGTGTGCATGAGGACCACACACACAATCACACTGCCTGATAAGGGATTGAGTTCACATTACATGGACCTTCTTGTACCCATTAGTTCTAGATTTCATTCAGCTTGGTTACAGTGTGGAAGAGACTAACATAGTGGTTCCTCATTGGATCATTAGGTCCCCAAATTCTGGATTCCAGATATCTCATCATTTTGTTGTATCTACTTGACCAAATAATCTTAGGATGTGGGGTTTTGAGTATGTGGATATGACCCATGACCTAATTATTTCTTAGAAAGAATATAAAATTTACATTTACTAAAAGTACCTTGCCTTATATTCACAATGATGATTTTGATTGTAGTAAATATAGATAACATAATACTATAAATGAGGGGGGAAAGGCTTGAGATTGCACAATTAGATGTTACCATGTAAAATTAATTTATTAGCCAAAAGAATTACCATTTTAACTGTTTAGTAATGGTTGTTGTTTTTCAACCATGGTTGACAATCAGCAAATATGGATGTTTGAGCTTACAGAAAATGTGTGGCTGGCACTACATATATTAAGGATTGATAAAATATGTGAAATTATGCAATTTATATTGTTAATAGCTTTACCATTGGTATTCAAAAGCACAAAAAGAGAGAAAAAAAAGGAGACAGACTTTCAATGAAAGCCCTAGATTTTTCAGTGTTCTGGATTTCTGAGGTTGCGATGAATATATTGATCGTTGCTTTGATAATATATTAATTTGACTTGAGTTAGTCAAGGTGAATTTACAAATTTTTTGGGGCTTGTGGAATGCATATTAAGATGCCTTTTTAGTAATTCAAAGATTGTCCTTTACATGTTAATTAGGTATTAATATGGTTGCTAATCGTCAACTCTTTCTTGATCTCAAAGTCAATGGTGCTCCCTCTCCTTGTCTAGTCATATTTTACTACAAAATTTTCATTATTGCATTATTGGTTAACCATTATTGCAGTATTTGTCCAACATGTAATATGTACATTTTATTCTCAGCATGCATATTGAACACATTCGTAGGCTTCATATGACCTTTTAACATATTTCTATACTTTTGGGGGAAAAAACTCATTTCAATGCGTATAGGCTTAAAATGCTACTTCGAGAACTGTGCTTTATATCTCAAATTCATTTGTTCGGTTGTCTTATGATTGTGCTGTAGTGGACTGCCATAGCCGTTCTATTAAACCAACCTAGGTTCCCGATGCTGCTGTTGGCATAACAAGTGGAACACTCCCAAATTTGTGATGGATTTGCTGTGCTAAAGTGAAAGGCTATTTGTCTGGTTTTGAATAATTTTATCCACACTATGCTATTTACTTTGTTATTGTGGTATAAATACTTGCTGATTACTTTAATGGAAGATAAATTTGTAATTGGAATGTTAAAATGCATGTTGACAAGCCTTATCTGACAAAAACAATAAAAATGCATGATGACAAGCCCTCGAGGCATGAGGTTTGGTCCAGCATTCTTTAACCAAATTTTTTAAATAAAGGATAATATCATACAAGTGCATAAAAGTAAATACTGATGCGGTCCTTTGGCTGCAGTTAACCATTTTCATCCATATAAGTTTTGATATGGTTTATTCTGAGTCTTATATATTCGTTTACTCTAGGTTTGGAGAAAAGGTAAAGAAGTGATAAAACTACACCTTAAACTAATGCTCCACTCCATGATGTCCATTTGGCAAATGATGGGAATTGGAGTTTCTTTTGGGGTTTTAAACCCCTCCATTTTCAAAATCCAGCAACTGAAAATTTTGTTTGGAATATTATAGAAATAGCTTTAATCAAAGCCAAACTATTGTCTTTGTTTTAAACTTATAATGTCACATCAGGAGAGCCTCATAATAAACTGCACCCCTTACATGAACCTTGCATTTGAGATTCCCCTTGGTGTGCAAGCTTCTGACACCTTTCAGGACACCTTTATAAGTTTACTGAACGTGAATGGTTCATTGGGAGTTGGAATATCTTTTCACCTCTTGCACGAGTCTTGTCAGTCCCAAGAACATGCATACACACAAACAGGAACATATATGTTGTTATTTTATGTAATCATGTTGATATATCGTTCTAGGATAATGGATAAGCATTTGAAGTCCCTTGCACCAAGGCATGTTGATACCAAGTTCATCAAGTTGGACGCTGAGGTCAGTTTATATCAGCTCTTATGTTTTACGGTCTAGTATGGGTCATTTACTCAGATTTAGCCTTAACTGAGTGGTAATTGTAATATTGATTTTTCATTCATTTGTTTGAAGTAAATTCTAGAACATTAGATGCAAAATGGGATTCTAATTATCTGAATTGAAATGCAGAATGCGCCTTTCTTTGTTGCCAAACTAGGAATCAAAACTTTGCCTTGTGTCATATTATTCAGGTCAGTCTTGTATTGTTTCTTAAATATTCTTTCTTACACACTTGTGTAATGGAGTAGTTCTATAAGAGGTATACCATGCAAGAAAACAGAAATTTTTATCTTACAACATTCCAGTCTCAAGTAATCATAGTCATGAACTTTGTTTCTTTTCCTGTTTTATTGCAAAGTAGCTAAATATCCTAAATTGATGCACTAGCAAATGTGGGTGCCTAAAAGATCAAATAAACATTAAAACAATTGGAATGTTCAGCCATATTGCAACTATGATGTACCTAGAGATGCAGCTTGCTCAGGTAGGACTGACCTGCACAACCTTTGGGTGGGATTGGTTTGGAAAATCTTATCCTGTCCTCTGAATTCTTGGGCTTTGGCAAATGTGTTCCATGACCAACCTGAAGCTTACCTGTGCCATGCATAGTAAATTTATTTATTTATTATTATTATTATTATTTTTCGGAAACTGAAGTAAGAACCCCTTTTAAGGATCGTCAGTAGATTCATCATCCTTCACCATAATCAAAATCCTAGCAAGGCTGCTTTGCCACTCCCATGTTGCATTCAAAGTGTTTTTCCTCCTTGTTTGTTGAGTGACTCAACCCCGATACGGATATCAGCTGTAGATTGATTGCGGCATTCTCCGGACCATGAAGCAACCTCATTCTTGAACATTCATATATTTTTTTAATGATCAACCATGAATTGGTACTATAAGTTCTTGATTCACGGTTTACCCCTCAATTTCTCTCTTTGATTTAATGCGCCTTTATGGCATAATGCTTCTTTTGTTTTTTTTTTTTTCCCCTTCTAGATCGTATCGTATATACATATTTTTTCATTTAATAGTAAAAAAAATAATTTTCTATTAAAAAGCCAGAAGTTTCTAGAGAAAAGATTTGAGGTTTGTCTTCATTAGAGTCAAGTCTCTATTTTTCAACCTACTGGTGGATAAACCTTTTCATCATGTCTTCGTTATACTTTTTACTTATTTTGGTGAGCAAGAAAGAAAGTTTTGAATCTTTAATTTTTTATTTTTAATGCCAAAAGCATTTAAGATCTAATTTCTGAAGTGGGGTTGAGTTTGGGTCTGATAGCTTGGATTGGGTTGTTGTTCACCGGGAGAGTGGTGGCCAATAGGTCTCCAGGCCGACAGAAGGTGGCCAGAGTTGCAGTTTTGGAAGTGCCTTGTATGCTTAATTTTATGCCTCAATATTTGTAGAGGCTTTTAAGATCATGTATTGAAGACTTGCGAGATTCCCTTTCAGTAAAGGAATTGCAGCAGATAGGCTGGTTGGGTTTCAGGATTTGGGAGGAAAAGACGATTTCAGCACAAAGACACTCGAGGTTCTACTAATAAAGAAAGGATGCTCCTGTCATTGCTTTGCTAATCATATCCCAAAACAGTTCCTAAACCATCACTTTTTACAGGGATAATTAGTGAAAAGAAAGAAGAAGAAGATGGATACGATGGTTATCCCGAAAGTATACGCAGGACTGTGAGATCCTCTGTGGATCCTGATTCTGATTCTGACTGAAGAGGAAATAAAGTGCCTGTATTGATTTGTATTGGTGGTTGCCTTAAACATGTGCTTGCATATCTTGTTATATTTATCTATGTTTACCACCTCTTGAAGCTTTTTTTTTTTTTTCAAAATTGTACTCTTCTAAACAATTTTGAGTCATCTAATTTGAAAACCGTAGCAATGTAACTGTACTCGTCACTATAACATTTTTAGTGTTTTGTGCATACATGTAGGCCCGTGTGTGCAACCCGAATTAAATCAACTTTAAAATCGGATTGCAAACTCAAATTTAAAAATTCATTTAGAAATAAGTTGTAACTCCACCTAACTATGGTCCTAGCTGATCATATTGCTGCCTAATAAAATTAGTCTGATTATGTATCCACTCTCACGAGGATTAGGTTAGTGGATGCACAAGTATATAAATATGCATGTAGTAACTCCTTCAATTCAATTCCCTCTCTAGATCTCTCATTTTTGTATATGGCCACCACAAGCCAGATCAAGATCAGATGTCGTCCATGTAGCCTTGCATAACTCCTATGGTCTCCTCGGGCGGAGTTGGAGAAATTCGATGCCCTAAAAGTTGTCACCATCCATATAATTCCTTTCTTTACCATCTCTTAATTCTGTAAATAATTTAAGTTATACATTAATAAGTAAATAATTTAAGTTATACATTAATAAGTTCGATTTAGCATATTTATATAAATTTATTGTTTTGCTTCTTTCAAATGATTTTTGAAAGATGTTTATGTACCCTCAACCCAAGCACAACTTATTATTCTATCCACCCTACTAGCAAAAACTTGTTCTCTACAAACAAATGAAAACACCAATTCTATTTATAGGCATCCTGCTCTCTACATAATTTTTCTTAAATATTTACAACACTACAAAATTCTTCATTATTTTAAAATATTCTAAAATTTACTACCTTTTACAAACCTCAAAAACTCTGCATTAATTTAAAAGACTCTATAACTCTAGTCTATTTATGTCATGCAGATACCTCATTAATTCTTACATGTACCCTGCGTGATACAATCCCTTTACAAATACATGGTGCGTGACAAATGGATATTTGTCATTTTATTATGGCAAACTTCAATTACCACTAAATAATTTTACCTCTAAAAACGAGCGCACTTGAAACAAATATTGAAAAATTGTACATGTCTGTTTGTTTGTCCTCCCCCGGCGGCGAAAAAACAATTACAATAAACACATGGGGTATACCCACGGCCCAAACAGGAGGAGATGGGCAAACAAGAAAACACGAAAGTGAAACTGTCCATTAGTGGCCCAAACAAGAGAACATAAAATATTCAAAAACTTAACACTTGACTTGAGATTATAGTGATTTTACCCTGTCATGAAATCCAAGCAATGGACTGGGCTAGGGAAAAGGAAGACCGTGTGTTACGACACCATCAATTTGTTTCTGAGATGATAGAGTCGGATCATGCTTTTGTGGACTTGTGTGTAATAACGTGGAGCATAAGGAATTCGGTGAGGGACACATGGCGGTCTTGGACAGAAAGTATGAGCGTGACTTGGAATCCTCATTGTTGGAACGAGCTATGAATAAGTGCTTCCCGGAATTAGAAACTCTGAAATTTGAAGGTGATGAGGAGGAACAAGTAGAGATATTCATTGGGTTGCCCGCAACATGCTCTCATATATACCATGTCCACTGCATTATAGAGTGGCTTAAAATGAGTCTTTTGTGCTCCTTATGTCGCTTCAAGTTGTCACCAAAATTTAAAGCACATCCACATATGGCTACCCATCTTGGGTATTTGTAAGTATTGGTTAGCCAGCTTTGAACTTTTGTTCTCAATCTTACTATATTAATTTGAGTTATATATATACCTTAGTATCATATTTGTGTTAATAATTTGACTTATACATTAATAAGTACAATTTAGCATATTTATATAAATTTATTGTTTTGCTCTCTTCAAATGGTTTTTGATCGATGTTTCTGTACCTTCAACACAAGGCCAACTCATTATTATATTTTTAAACTCGAATTTGCAAAGGAAGTTGAAAAGAAAAATGTCTTCATAATTTGAATATTATATATAATATATTTAAAATAAAAATTATACATGAAAATAATATTACAAATCGGGTTCGGGTTGGGTAGGTTGCTAGCTCATTAACCCAAGTCCAATCCTAATGAAGTTTAGGTTAAAAAAATCCTATCTAAGCCCAACCCCAACTGCAAAAATAATCATCCAAATTTGAGTTGTCCAACTCAAGTATATCAAGTTGCACCCCTACTTCCTCTTGGACGGGGCGGTGGGGAGGGGTCAGCCCTCCAAATTTTTTGTGGCAACTCTTCTTAAAATTATTTATTTATGGCAACTAACGATAATTTTGTATAGAAAAATTAGAGTTCGCCTCCCTAAATTTTGGTGGAAATTATTTTTTTTCTTACCTGTTTGTTTCGATGTAAAATATTTTTTTTGAAAAAATATTTTTTTAATTAACTTTTTTAGTGTTTGACAAAGGTTTATGTTGAGGTCAAGCTCATCGAGGGCATGTAAAATAACTTGTCAAAAATTTATGGATAAGTTATTTTTGTTAAATTTTAATATATATTTTTTTCCTAAATATTTTACGACAATCAAATACCAAAAAATAAAAATATATTTTATAAAAAATATTTTACATCCAAACAAATGAGCCAAAATGTTAAGCAATTTTATTTTAATTTTTTTTGAAAAGTAATGTTAAGCAATATAAATAAATAAATAATATGTACATGTCCTTCAGCTTTAGCTGAAGGATTACAAAACAGGCCATTATAATAAAGGACCAATGCAAATTAAAACATGGCCATAAAATTAGTCCAGTACACAGGCCCAGAGGGCAACAAAAGGGAAGGTGAACCCAATCAAAATATGACAAGTGTCCAAAATAAAAATAATCAAACCCATTTTAAACCGGTTAGAAATCTAACGACCCATCTGAATTCAACATCTCATTTTTATTTCTCTCACTACTTCTCTCTCCAGCAAAACTATTTTCTCTCTCTAGCAAACCCATCACCACTCGTTCCTAATTTCTTTCACTTTTCTTCTATCTCACATTGCACAACCCAGATCTTTACTTCTTAGGCTTTGTTTGTGTGCACATTGCAGAAGCCGTTTCAAAGTACATTTCACTGAAACGGGAACCGACCTAGGGTTAGGGTTCCGAAGGTTGTTTTCCCAAGTCCTACATCTCCGGGTAAGGGCTACTGCAATTGGCGATTGGTTTAAATAAAATTGATTTATATGGGTGGTCTATTCATTAAAATTGTTTTTCTTATATTTAAAACTTGGGTCTTAGTCTTACAGATGCGTCTTTAATGATCGAATTGTCGGAATTAGCATACCCTCCCTGATCCCTATTCAGATACACAATTTCGTTTTTATTTTTGTTTTCTATTGTAGAAATAGAGAGATGGATCCCGACTCGGTTAAATCGACTCTGTCCAATTTAGCATTTGGAAATGTAATGGCAGCAGCAGCTCGTAATTATCAAAAGGTATTTCTTGAATCATTTTCCCATTCTTTCTAATTACGTAAATACTTCCCTTTTTTTTTTTTTTTTTTTTTTCATTTTTGAACATGAATTTAGTTTTGTCAGGGAAGAACCTATTTAATATGATCTATTATCTTTCCCATTGTTAGTCTGTTTGTTCTGTTTTACTTCAGTGTGTGTGTGTGTGTGTGTATATATATATATATATATATGATAAAATTAGGGACAGAAAATACAATTTAAGACTCAGGAAGGCTAAATTGACTATGTAAGGAAAATGAATAGTGTAATGTTAATTAGTTTCACATTGCTAGCAGCATATTGCTTTGCTGATTGTTAGGGTGTTTCATTTGCCCATTCACTCATCTTATAGGAATTGTTATCTCAAGAAAGGGTACAGACATCTACCTCTGTTAATGAGGAGGTCGATCTTGATGAGCTGATGGATGTAAGTTGGATAATTCTTCTATATTGCATATTACTTACCTAGAAAATAAAACTATCTACTTTGCTTCCTTTGCGCGCATCTATCTTTATACTCCATGTTGTGTTTACCTGCACTTGGTGATATCAGGATCCTGAACTGGAAAAATTACATGCCGATAGGATCGCGGCTCTTAAGGTTAGTTATTTATTCTTATCAAATACATCCACGTGCAGTTTGTTATTTAGATTTGGGGTAAACTATCTGAATTGGAAAAGTCATTATGCTTGGATTTCTTTGAATAGAAAGAAGCTGAGAAGCGACAGGCATTGAAGAAGCAAGGGCATGGGGAGTATAGGGAGATAACAGAAGGGGACTTCTTGGGTGAAGTCACTGCGAGTGAAAAAGTGATCTGTCACTTCTACCATCGCGAGTTCTACCGTTGCAAGTAATGCTTTGACTCCGAAATCTCTCTCTCTCTCTCTCTCTCTCTCAAATGCACGAGGACCACACACACAAACACACAGGCTGATAAGGGATTGAGTATTTGAGTTCACATTACCTGGACCTTCTTGTACCCATAAGTTCTAGATTTCAATTAGCTTGGCTACAGTGTGGAAGCGACTGACTTAGTGGTTACTCATTAGATTATTATGTCCCTAAAGTCCGGATTCCAGATATCTCATCCTTTTGTGGTATTGACCAAATAATATTAGGATACAGGGTTTTGAGTATGTGGATATGAGCTATGACCTAATTACTTCGTAGAACGAATATATATATAAAAAATACATTTACTAAAAGTACTTTGCCTTGTATTCACAATGTTGATTCTTGATTGAAGTAAATATAAATATCATAATACTATAAATGAGGGGGGAAAAACTTGAGCTTGCACAATTAGATTGAATCTTGATTGTAGTAAATATAAATAACATAATACCATAAATGAGGGGTGAAAAAGCTTGAGCTTGCACAATTAGATGTTACCATGTAAAATTAATTTATTAGCCAAAAGTTTTACTATTTTAACTGTTTGGTATTGGTTATAGTTTTTCAATCATGGTTGACAAGCAGCAAATATGGATTTCTGAGCTGTGAGTTAATTTATTTGCCAAAAGTATTACCATTTTAACTATTTACCTTTTATATGATGGATAGTTAACAACCTAACGACATGAGAGAGACCATGAGCATCGAGGATGTTGGGGAGAGAGAAGGTACATGGTGAGATTGATGAAAACCGATAGCTTTAAGGCCAGTGGGCCACTAGTCTGAGTCAAGTACTGAAAGTCTGAAATACATAAAAAAATTCATCCCCTTCAGTCTTCACTCACCACTCACGCGACAGAGCCATATATATACACGTTTATGTAAAAAAGCCCCATTTTATCTTTTTCAGTCTTCACTCACAACTCAACATGATATATATGCACAAGTCACGACCACAGAGCCTTATATATATATGGACACAAGCGATATATACACAAAAAAGTTCATGTACTAAAAGTACCTTGCCTTATATTCACAATGCTGATTCTTGATTGTAGTAAATATGGATTACATAATAGTACAAATGAGGGGAAAAAAACTTGAGATTGCACAATTAGATGTTACCATGTAAAATTAATTTATTAGCGTGGGTTTTGGGCTAGTTATGAATGGGCTAGTCAGTAATGGGTCAATAACCCATTAGTAACCCATTTATGGGGAGTCATAAATGGTTTGGGTATTAAATGGGTTAATCAACTCACATCCAACCCGATGACCTGAATATTTTTAAACACAAATTGTCAAATTATTTTGATTATAAAAAAAGAAGAAGGTTCCTGTAGCAGTTTTCATTAATTTTTTGGTTTCCAGCATCGCAATTTTTTTTTTCCTGAAAAATTCACTTATATATATATAGAAAAAGGAGCTTTGACTGGGTAACATTTGAAAATTTTACCGGGAAAAAAAAAAGGTTCCTGTAACAGTTTTCCATTAATTTTTTGGTTTCCAACATTACAATTTTTATTTATTTATTTATTTTTTAATTCGAAAAATTTACACACACACGTATATATAGAAAAAGGAGCTTTGTCATATATATATAAAGGAGGTTTGACATGTGTGTGTGTATATATATATATATATATAAAGGAGCTTTGACGGGTAACATATGAAGATTTTAATTCGTTGCTGGTGATTTAATCTTATATTTTTTTTATCCAGTAAAATAAAAATTGAAGGAACAATATGGTAATATGGGAAAAAAAAAAGAAATGAAAGATTTATTTAATAAGAGAGAGAGAAGCAGATAGGAGAGTGAAAAAAATAGGAGAGCGCCGAAAAAAAAATAGGAGAGAGAAGCAGGTAGAGACAGAAAATATTAGGTGGTTCGTATCCATAGTGTAATTTATGGTATGGACCAATAAAAAAAACTGAATAAAATTTTACAAAACTTCCCACATTATCATCTTAATGACATACCCTTTTGACTTTTCTCTTTTAAATTTCTCTCACTACAAGTCCAATTCTCTCTCTAACACCTCTCTTTCCTCATGTCCCATATCTTTTCTCTCTCTCTCTCTCTCTCTCTCTCCCTCTCCAACAACAAGTTCCTTACTTTCTACAAGTTGAAAATGATGATTATTGTAAAGAGAAAAGAGGGTTTTGTTTGAACGGGTTAAGATGGGTACCCACTCTTAACCCACCATTAACCTTTGAATTGAATGGATACCCACTTTTTACCCACCTACTCACTTAAATTTGGGTGCTCAAATGATTTAATTTTAGTGGGCGGGTTTGGGCGGTTTAATGGGTTTGTGCTTAAATTGCTACCCCTAGTCTAAAGTATTGCCATTATAACTGCATAGTATTGGTTGTACTTTTTCGACCATGGCTAACAAGCCGCGAATATGGATGTTTGAGCTCACATGTGAGTTGGCATATGCATATCTTAAACATGTATCTTGTCATCTCATTTACTTGTAACTTTGTTATCCTGTGTCCATACATTGTCTTATTTAATATGAAAACTCATCTAGTGTTGATTCTTGATTGTAGTAAATATAGATAACTTAATACTACAAATGAGGGGAAAAAAAGCCTTGAGATTGCACAATTAGATGTTATTTCCATGTAAAATTAATTTATTAGTCTAAAGTATTATTAACTGTATAGTATTGGTTGTAGTTTTTCGACCATGGCTGACAAGCAGCAAATATGGATGTTTGAGCTTTCATGTGAGTTGGGATATGCATATCTTAAACATGTATCTTGTCATCTTATTTACTTGTAACTTTGGTATCCTGTGTCCATACATTGTCTTATTTAATATGAAAACTCATCTAGTGTTTATAGAACATGTGTGGCTTATACTGCATTTATTAAGGATTTATAAAATATGTAAAATTATGCAATTTATATTGTTAATAGCTTCAGTGTTAGTATTAAAAAATTAAAAAAAAAAAAAAAAGGAGACAAACTTTCAATGAAAGCCCTAGATTTTTCAGTGTTTTGGATTTCTGAGGTTGCAATGAATATATTGATCGTTGATTTGAAAATTTATTAATTTGACACGAGTTATTTAAGATGAATTTACATTTTTTTTTTTTTTTGTGGCTTTTGGAGTGCACTTTAAGATGCCTTTTTAGTAATTGAAAGATTGTCCTTTACATGTTAATTAGGTATTAATATGGTTGCTAATATATATATATATATATATATATATGTATATGTCTCAAATTCATTTATTCGGTTGTCTCTTTATTGTGTTGTAGTGGACTGCCATAGCCGTTCTATTAAGTGCCCGTTTGGGATTGCTGTTAGAATGATAAAAGCACTTTTAGTAGTAGAACTGTTATAAAACTGCTGTCAGTAAAAAACATCTTATGCGTTTGGTGATGAATTGTATAAATCACTTTTAAATTTGTTTGGTAACAATGTTGCTTAAAACACTTTTACTACTGAATTTACTAATAGTATCCCTATCTTATGTATGTATTTTTCCGTTCTATATAAGATGAATTATTGCTTGCAAAAGGAAAAAATAAAACATCATCAGCACTCATGTTTTATGAAATTCAAATTGTATAAGATTCAAGATTGAAGTTTAGTTCGGCTAATTATAGCTTGATTTTTTCATGAATATACTAACTACAGCTTTATGTGACTTTAATTTTAAATTAAATTAACCCAAGAGTGAAATCTAATTTTTTTTCCAATTTCCAACCTCACCCAGAATTATTCAGCTGAGCAGCAATGCTTTGCGCATCCATCCTTATCTGGCATCCAAACCCTTCTTTAGATACACTTGCACATTTTAGAACTTAACTGCGATAGATATTGTAAAATGAACTCACCTAATAAATAGGAAATACTCACAATCAGAATAGAAGTTCCAGAAATTGTATTGCTTATTTTTTTAACCCATAAAATAGAATTTACAGAATACTCAAATAGACGAGACGAAGAAGATTTCTGATCTAGCTACAGGTATGTGAATTTTCTTTGGTTCCTGGCTGGATGATTGTAAAACTGAACTAAACTTCTAGTAAAAAAAAACTTTTAATATAATTTGAATTTCTAATATAGGGGTTTTAAGGGGCCATACTAGATAAGATAACAATAATAGTAGTGGTGCAGATCTGTCATCTGTGACAGTGTCCCAGACAACACAAATTGATTTGCATAATCATTATATATTCCTTTAACACCAGGGATAAAATTTTATTTAAAAAAAATAAAGAGGGATTAAATTGTCTTAAAAAAACATAGTTACCTAAAAAAATCTACCTCTACCTAAAACGCAATTCTAAAAGCTACGATTTGTAGCTTCATGTGAACACGCTTTTTTGATAAAATCTTTACTACCTAACCGCACTTATTTTTGTCACCGAGCACATCTCACTACAATTTTTTAAATTGAAAATGCTTTTTTGTAGTAGAAAAGCAATCCCAAATGGGCTCTAAACCAACTCAGGTTCCTGATGGTGCTGTTGGCATAACAAGTGGAACACTCCCAAATTTGTGATGGATGTGTTGTGCTAAAGTGCAAGGCGATTTGACTGGTTTTGAATAATTTTATCCACACTATGCTATTTACTTTGTTATTGTGGTATAAATACCTGCTGATTACTTTAATGAAAGATAAGTTTGTAATTGGAGTGTTAAAATGCATGTTGACAAGCCTTATCCAACAAAAACAATAAAAATGCATGATGACAGGCCATTGAGGCATGAGGTTTGGTCACACATTATTTAACCAAAAATTTTAAATGATAAGATCATACAAGTGCATAAAAGTAAATACTGATGCGGTCTCGTGGCTACAGTATACCATTTTAATCCATATAAATTTTGATTCGGTTTATGCTGAGTCTCATATATTCGTTTACTCTAGGTCCGGTGAAAAGGTAAAGAAGTGATAAAACTACACTGTAAACTACTGCTCCACTCCATATGTCCATTTAGCAAATGATGGTAATTGGAGTTCCTTTTGGGATTTTAAATCCCTCCATTTTCAAAATCCAGCAACTGAAAATTTCGTTTGGAATAGACTTATAGAAATAGCTTTAATTAAAGCCAAACTATTGTCTTTGTTTTGCACTTATTATCTAACCTCAGAACACGAACCTTGCATTTGAGGTATGAGCTTCTGTAAGGTGCACTGACCTCAAGATTCCCTTTGATGTGCCAGCTTCTGACACCTTTCAGGACTCCTTTATAAGTTTACTGAACCTGAATGTGTTCATTGGGAGTTGGAATACCTTCTCCTGTCAGTCCCAAGAACATGCATGCGTGCATACACACAAACAGGAACATATATGTTGTTATTTTATGTAATCATGTTGATATATCTTTCTAGGATAATGGATAAGCATTTGAAGTCCCTTGCACCAAGGCATGTTGATACCAAGTTCATCAAGTTGGACGCTGAGGTCAGTTTATATCAGCTTCTATGTTTTACGCCTTCTAGTAAGGGTCATTTACTTAGATTTTGCCTTGACTGAGTGGTAATTGTAATATTGATTTTTCATTCATTTGTTTGAAGTAAATACTAGAATCTTATTTGCAAAACGGGACTCTAACTATCCGAATTGAAATGCAGAATGCGCCTTTCTTTGTTGCCAAACTAGGAATCAAAACTTTGCCTTGTGTCATATTATTCAGGTCAGTTTTGTGTCGTTTTCTAAATATTCATTCTTGCGCACTTATGTAACACTTCTATAAGAGGCATACCATGCAAGAAAACAGAATTTATAATCTTACAATATTCCGATCTCAAGTAATCATAGTCATGAATATTGGTTCTTTTCCTGTTTTATTGCAAAGTAGCTAAAATTTAAAAGCTAGCAAATGCGGATGCCTAAAAGATTAAATAAGCATTAAAACAATTGGAATATTCAGTCATATTGCAACTATGATGTTCCTAGAGATGGAGCTTGCTCATGTAGGACCAACCTGCACTACCTTTGGGTGGGCTTGGTTGGGAAAATCTTATCCTGTTCTCTGAATTCTTGGGCTTTGGCAAATGTGTTCCATAACTCGACCAACCTAAAGCTTACCTGTGTCATGCATAAGAAACTTATTTATTTATTTATTATTATTATATTTTTAGGAACCTGAAATCAGAATCCCTTGTAAGGATCCTCATTAGATTCATCCTTCGCCATAGTCAAAATCTTAGCAAGGCTGCTTTGCCACTGCCATTGCTGCATTCAAAGTGTTTTTCCTCCCTGTTTGTTGAGTGACTCAACCCCTATACGGAAATCAGCTGTAGATTGATTGCGACATTCTCCGGGCCGTGAAGCAACCTTGTTTTTGAACACTCATATATATTTTTAATGTTCAACCATGAACTGGCACAATAAGTTATTGATTCACCTCTCAATTTCTCTCTTTCATATATATATTTTTTTCTTTTCTTAGTTGGTACTCACACACGCATGCCTTCACTGAGGCTCGAACCCCTAACCCTCCCTTTGGGAAGTAGAGGCTTGGTATCACTAGGCCATTGGCCTGTTGGTAATTTCTCTATTTGATTTAATGTGCCTTTATGGCATAATGCTCCTTTATTTTTTCATCCTACTGGTGGATAACCTTATCATCATGTCTTCATTATACTTATACTTATTTTGGTGAGCAAGAAAGAAAGTTTTGAATCTTTTATTTTTTATTTTTAATACCAAAATCATCTAAGTTCTAATTTCTGAAGTGGGGATGAGTTTCGGTCCGATAGCTTGGATTGGGTTGGTCATTGGCAAACTGGTGGCCAAGAGGCCTCCAGCCTGACAGAAGCTGGCCAGAGTTGCAGTTTTGGATGTGCCTTGTGCTCTTTATTTCATGCCTGAATATTTGTAGAGGTTTTTTAGATCACGTATTGAAGACTTGCGAGATTCCCTTTCAGGAAAGGAATTGCAGCAGATAGGCTGGTTGGGTTCCAGGATTTGGGAGGAAAAGATGATTTCAGCACAAAGACACTGGAGGTTCTACTAATAAAGAAAGGTAATGCTCTTGTCATTGCTTTGCCATTCATAGCCCAAAACAGTTCCTAAACCATCACTTTTTACAGGAATAATCAGTGAAAAGAAAGAAGATGAAGATGGAAATGGAGACAATGGTTATCCCGAAAGTATACGCAGGACAGTGAGATCCTCTGTGGATCCTGATCCTGATTCTGATTCTGACTGAAGAGGAAACAAAACTGTCTGAATTATTGACTTGTATTAGTGGTTGCCTTAAAACACGTGTGCTTGCATATCTTTTGTTATATGTTTACCACCTCTTGAAACCTTTTATTTTCCAAAATTGTACTCTTGAAAACAATTTTGAGTCATAAAAAAGAACCGTACTCAAGGCACTATAACATTTTAGTGTTTTGTGCATACATGCAGGCCATAGAAATTTTAATCCAGTTTATATTTTTCCATTCCTTAGGTTTTCTTTTCACTCTCATCAACCTAAAACTATTATCAAAAACCCATCTTTGTGAAATTTGTATTTTTCAAGCATTTGTCGGTGCATGAACATCATTATCCAATACTTATCGCCCTTTCATTGAATGGTAAGAGGAGAAGAAGAATAGGGACAAATCTAAAATCAACATTATTTTTAAATCAAGTGTTTGCTATATCCTATATAAGACATTCCAATACGAACTCCGGAAGACAACTTATGAATCCGAATTTTTGTCAATAGATATGGTATCAAAACTTTTAAAATAAAATAGGTAAATGAACTGCTTCAGTAAGTTTAATGGGGTGATTGGGTACCGATGGGTGGAGGTTTCTTTATGATATTTTCTTTTTTATTAATATTATACTTGGTCATCAGTGAAAAATTAGTTCTATATACTAGAGACTATCGGAGTATTAATCTTTTCCTCATGGTACGTTACGTGTAACTAACATTGTGGATCGGGCCCACGCGGCTGCTTGGGGCTACATAGAGTGGAAGCAAGCCGGCTTAGTCGGTGCCGTTTGTTTGAAAACAAATTCAAAGTACTGTTCAATTCAAGTCAGGAAACCGATGCTTTCAAGGGAAAGCAAAATCCAAATTTTGTCAAAGTATATTCTTATTATACTATATGCACATCCGCCTACTCCTCAAGAAATCACATGTTCATGTCTCGGCTAAAGAAATTTTTTTAAATACCGAGAATATTACTATATAAAGTACCGTAAATGATTTTTTGCAAATTGAAAGAGAATAAGGGATCGACGAAACATTTTTAAAAAACATTTTGTATCTTTTTTTATTCAAACCCAACATCGCAATATTTTAAGACACCTTTCGAAACCCATATGAAGATAATGTACCTTCCTAAATTTTGCAGTAACCAGAGCCTCGGCTAAACTTTTTTTTTTTTTTTTTTCTCAATTAAAAAGATGATAATGTGAGCCGAGCTCTCTAATGTGAGCCGATGACATAAGATATGATATGAATTAGATCTTTGCTTGTTGGATTGTACATGAACGTGAATGAATGAACATAATAAGATAAGAGTCGGTAGTAGTAGATATATTGATAGATTGATCTTTTCTGATCAAAGTTGTGGAATAAGAGATCCGTAGCCGTCATGGTCGTCGAGCAAATGGCGTGAGGGATTGTCATGCGCGGATGCCCCTTTTGTCTCTCTCTCTCTCTTCCTACTCTCTCTCTATAATTATATATATATATATATAGATTGATAGATATATATGTATGTATTTATGGATCGCTCACGGGATTGATTGCTTCGAGATAAAGAATCGCGTTCGGGTGACAGAGTATGACGACTCTGCGACTCCTCAATACCGATCAGGGACGGGAGTGTTTGGTTCTCGAGAAAATCGGATTTCAAAACTATTTCTTGCTTTGAGCAAGTATGATTTCGTGCTTGTATCTTTAATTCGGAAAAATCTGACCGAAAGTTTAAGAATTTGTGATGCTTCTGCTTTACTTAATTCCCAAATTTGGATGTTTTTTTGGTGGAATAGGTAAAGTTGCAGTGAATTGGGGAAGGTTGAAGGCAAAGAAAAGTGACAATTCCACAATTTAAAAATTGGGGGAAAAAGTGAGGAGCATAAAATTGCAGCGGAGAAGAGGATCAAAGAAGTCCAAATTTTGTTGAAGATTACAATAATTCAGCACCAAGTAAGTATTGATTCTTTTCCCTTTTTTTGGTTCTTTATTGATATATTTTTGGCCTACAACTATCAATTAATTGTTTGTCATAATCCCCAATTCTTTTTTGCTTGGTTGCATCACTTCCTTCCAAAATGAATATAATAGTGTTATTGGCAACTTAATTGTAGTAATTCTCAATTTGTTAGTATCAGTTTTGTTTCTTGGAAGTCATTGTAATCTCATTAGTTACAAGCATAAAGATGAACTCAGATTTATTTTGGGTCATTTTCAGCGAAATGGCAACACTTGTGGACCCTCCAAATGGTGTTTGGATTCCAGGGAAGCATTACTACTCAATGTGGCAAACATTGTTTGAAATCGATACGAAATACGTTCCAATCAAACCCATTGGCAGAGGAGCCTATGGTGTAGTGTGTTCTTCCATTAATAGGGAAACAAACGAGAAAGTTGCAATCAAAAAGATCAATAATGTGTTCGGGAATCGTGTTGATGCATTGAGAACTCTCAGGGAGTTGAAGCTGCTTAGGCACATACAGCATGAGAATGTGATTGCTCTCAAGGATGTTATGATGCCCATCCACAGAACGAGTTTCAAGGATGTGTATCTGGTTTATGAATTAATGGACACGGATCTTCATCATATCATAAAGTCATCGCAACCACTCTCTAACGACCATTGCAAATATTTTATTTTTCAGGTATTAGACTCTCTCAAAATATGTATGCTGCTTTATTATTCAAGCTACACTTGCATATACTTTAATTTTCCTACTGGAAATTTGTTAATGTCATATAGCGGTTCATGGTACAATATGATTCACTATTCATAAAAATCAGATGCTGATTTACTATGATTGCAGTGTTTAACTTGGAATAGTCATTCACATTCCTTTATTTGGCAATATTTTTTTACCAACATAAGCTGCTGGGTATGGTTTAGATGTAGGTAATTAGTATGTATTAATCCTTGGTATTGCATGGGCATTCTAAGAGCTATCCTTAAATTTAGGTTTTAATAGTAAATTTTAAGAGTTGTTTTCATTTTTCTTAAAAAAAAGATATATCTGTTCTAAAGGAATATGTATTTTTTTTTTTTCTTAGTACTCACACACGCATGCCCCACTAAGGCTCGAATCCCTGACCACCCTTTGGAAAGAAGTAGGGCCACTGGCCTGTTGGTTCTAAAGTAATATGTATTACAATTTAATAGTCAAAATTCTGTTTCATAATGTCATGTTTGCTTCCTTTTAATACCCTATTGTGTATGGTTTTTAGCTGAAGAAGGAAAAAATCCAGCGGAGTGCTTGTGGTGATATAGATAGGTTGTTGATATGCCTTTTCCTTGAAGTTAACAAGTGGCCCTCTGTCAGGACACTATTGTTTCGACTTTTGAGATAATGAACCAAAATACTGTAAATAGAGGCAATTGTGAAGCCTTCTATCAAGAGGGGATATGAATTTGTGCAGTGATGTCAAGTCGAGTATGCTGCATATCACCAAGACCTGAGTGGCTAGAGATGCTATCCCCTGGCAAACATAAGACAGATCCATACGCACACTGGGAATATATCTCATATGGTCAGCTACTCCCAACATTTGGAATTTCTAAATCTGTTTGGATTGTGGTGAGGAAGTCGGGATGTTCAAGCAATATCTCTTTCTAGAAGTAATTGTGTGGTATCAATACTCTTGTAGTTCTTTCCCATGTTTTTTCTTGATTAATGAATAATGATAGCTAATAAGTTGGCGTACAAATAGAAAGAACTTTGGTAGTCAACATACCTGCCTCCATTTTGGACAAGTACATTGGAGACCATTTCCATTCATTCCTCGATGAAATTTTTTTTACTCAAAATGTAGAGGGTAGCTTATTGACAGATATAACTATTTGTTAGATTGCATGCTAAGCTCTCTGCACTTGAATTTCATTTGGAAATAATTTTCATGGCAGTTGAGAGGTTTTGTAAGATTCTTCTACTGTGTGCGTGCTAACAATTAGGTGCTAAGGATTTGACCACTTCTGAAGCTGTAATGCTGTATGATGAGCCAAAAGTATACTTGGATATCTAGCACATTCTAAACGATCAATGTACTTTTTAAAAGTCAACCTCTTCTCTCTAGAGCTACTAAAATATCAAAATTTCCTTTGTAGAAGATCATTTTTAGATGGTTGAGGTTAATATAAAAGAAAATTTTATCAGACCTTGCCTTTGAAGTTTGAAGATGATCTTTCAACTGATAATTTAGTTGAAAGCCAATGAAGAATTTATTCGCCCAGTAAATCTAAACTGATTCATCATTTGGGATTTGCCAAAATTCTGAATCCGAGTCAATGTTCTGTGGTCAACTTCCCTAATCTATCACTGACAGCATATGGGTTATTATTACACTTTTATTGATATTGTGAAGCAGGGTTACTATTTGTGTTTCTTGGATCATTGTTTAAGATGCACTATTTAACTTTGAGTGAACCTGTACAACAGTACAAACTGCTGGAATCATTGTAGCTTTTATATTTATATGTTCCGCCCTCTGAAGTTTGAAAATTTAATTGTTGCATACCTTGAAAATATGTTGCTATAAAAAGTTCGAAGTGATTAGTGAACCTTTTCTTCTTTCATTCTCTTGGAGATAGTGATGTTTACTTTAATGTGTACTTTAAACAGTTGCTTCGTGGGTTAAAGTATCTTCATTCAGCAAATGTGCTTCATCGAGACCTGAAGCCTGGAAACCTCCTCATCAATGCGAACTGTGAACTGAAGATTTGTGATTTTGGGCTGGCACGAACCAGCAGAGACAACGGACAATTCATGACCGAATATGTTGTCACACGTTGGTACAGAGCACCAGAACTCCTCCTCTGCTGTGACAATTATGGAACCTCCATTGATGTCTGGTCTGTAGGATGCATCTTTGCTGAAATTCTTGGCCGGAAACCCATCTTCCCTGGAACTGAGTGCCTCAACCAGCTTAAATTAATTATCAATGTTCTTGGCAGCCAACATGAAGCTGATCTTGAGTTTATTGATAATACAAAGGCCAGGAGGTTTATCAAATCACTCCCTTTTTCTAGAGGGATCCACTTTTCTTCTCTATACCCCCACGCTGATCCTTTAGCTATAGACTTGTTGCGAAGGATGCTCGTGTTTGATCCATCAAAGAGGATCACGGTCACTGAAGCTCTCCATCACCCATACATGCAAGGTCTGTTTGATCCCAGCCGCAACCCTCCTGCCCAAGTCCCAATCAATCTCGACATAGATGAGAATATGGCTGAACCAATGATTAGAGAGATGATGTTGAGAGAAATGCTTCACTATCATCCTGAAGCTGCTTATGCCAATGCATAGGTAATGCACTTATTTTCAGAACGCTTTTCCTTTCTCTTTTCTTTTGTGTTTTTAAAATCTATTTATCTTTGTATAAGGCCTCTGTGAAACTAGTTTAATTCTTGTGTAGGAGTATGCGTAAGAGACTTATGCTACTACTTTCGTGATTGTTTGGAAGTTTTGTTTTTTCTAAGTTTGAGCCTTTTGCATGGGACATGGGCTTTTGTAACTAGTAAATAAGTATGTTACTTCTTTTCCGGTGAGTAATGGATACACGCTATTTTGAATGGTTTAAATTAACTTTTCACTTCTATATCGATGATGAAGGTACAGCTTCTTACTTTGCACCAAAATGAAAAATGGATGTGTTGTTTACGACTGTTTTGATGTTTATGATTATTGTAGCATGCAGAGAGTTTAAGCTTCCGCAAAATTTTGTTTGGTCAATTGTGTTGATGAACAAAGTGACAAAAATAAAGCGTCAGAACACAAGTATTCCATCTTGCCTAGGATTTGTTTCATCATCTATCAATCTTAATATGAAGCAAAAAGCTGGAGGGAATTCTCAGCAGAAATTACCAAACATGAGCGTTTGCAGTTTCAGATGATGAACTATGGCAGGTGAAAATTGCATAGTCCACAGCCACACTACAGGTGGTAATTACCCACAGAATCTGTTTTCTCGCCTGAAACCATGCCCACTCCGTCGGTGACGAAACGAATTTTCATCATGCTCGCAGGAGGATTTGGCGTTTTTCTCACCTGAAACAAAGTCGTTGTCATCATTGCAGTTGGAGGAACTTGGGATAGGGTTGAGTTAATTGGAGCTTGAGGAACATAACTTTGAAGCATAGAGAGAATAAAAAGCTTAAAAGCTTAAGCCCTTTTGGGGAACTTTTGATTTAAAATAGACAAACCTTGAAGAAAATTTCGTGCAGAGAGAAGTTGCCGTGCCAGGGAAACACTTCGATGAGACAGAAACTAGAAAGGGAAACAATTGGAGAGAGCATAGATATGACATTGTCAAATGCTATTTGCAAAATCTTGATGGTTCGGGAGAATTTTTGCAATTTATTCTAAAGATTTCTTTAAATAATAAGAGTAATGGTTTTGGAGAATTTTTACAATATACCCTTAAAACAATTATTTTAATAAAACAATTAGCAAAACATGCTGTTCGGTTGAATTTATCAATCGAAATCATGATTGTACATATTTTAACATGATAGACATTAAATAATTTTCAATGCAAAATTATATAAATTGAATAAATTAATCAATATTTTTCACGCTTCGTATATTTCCTCCAAAAAATATTAATTCCTCGGTCTATAAATAGTGAGAGACCATCCTTCTTAGATTCCATACAATTTGCTTTTACAATTGCAAGGTCTCTAATTCTACAAGTTCAGGCACCTACGAGATTACAAAACTCTCGGTCTCGGAGAGGATTTGAGGGTGTTGAAATTCCACGAAGCCGAAGAAAAGTATATTATTGAACAGTTGGGCAGTGAAGCTTTGAAGAGAGTAAAATCCGAAGGAAAAACAATTGGGATTACTTTGTTCGATATAGACACAAAAATTGTGCATGGAATATATCTCAGAAAGTGCAAGCACGATTCTATTGGGTTGAGTCGTCAGAAAAAAGGACGCTTAGGGGTGGTGAATTGATTGGGATGAATGTTAATCCACGTTATTCCCAATTCAGTTTCAAAGTTATTGTTTAAATTGTTGAACGCGAATTACAAATGATATATAGTAAGATGAATCTGATTGGTATTTATAATTGGAGTCTCATTTTTCACATGCATTAGGCAATTATTGAAGATAATTTGAAAAAAATTTGAACTTCAAACATTTTTCTTGAGATTTAGAAGGGATTTTATTTAAAAAATTTACTTTTAAATATGTTTTGATAAATAAAAAAAGTGAATAATATAACATTTCATTATACAAAATGGTTACTCTCAACTTTCAATACACAATCTCATATTTAAAAAGAACATTTCATTCCATTTAATCAGTTGTTCTCACTCCTAACATTTGACGAGTGATGAGCTGTAATGTTTGTGAGATAAATGTATATAAATATATATATTTATTAAAATTATAAAGTTATTCCTTTTTCTCAAAAGTTGATGGGCTCCACCAACATATTAACACACAAAAGGCCATAAGGCCATTTCATGAGTCAACTGTTTCCTTTCTCTCTCTCTGCTGCATCATTTCCCCTTTCGGCATCTCACTTTGTTTTTTTTTTCTTTTTGCAATCTCAAAAGCTTGATCTAGCTTTAATCTTTTGGATTTTGGTAGAACATTGTGAAGCAAAGTTGTTGAGCTCGTCGAGGCCGTCAATTTGATAGGAGCCAATCATCATTTGGTGCACTCTAGGGAGTTCAAAATTCTAGGGTTCTTGGGCTCAAATTGGGGATTTTCATCAATTTGAGGTAGGGGTGTTCTAATCTACAATTTCTTGGCCTTTGGTGAATTTTTCCCCTTGAATTTGATTCTAAGCATGCTAAATTTTAATTACTTAGCTTGTTATTGTTGTAGTTCTTTGTAATTATAATGATAATTGTGCTCCTTGTGTTATTTGAGTTCATATAAATGAGCATGCTTAGTGTTTAATGTGTTGTATGTTTCCATGATTATTTATTTATTTATTGTCTTGAAGAAAAATGGATGCTATGGTTATAAATAAATAAAGGAAATGAATGTTTAAAAATTTTCATTAAATTGTGATGATAATGTAAATGGAAATGTGTGAAAATATATAGTGAAATTAATGATTTTAAGCATGAAGTATTCATGCATCCATGGGGAAAGAGAAAGGGGGAAAAAATAATTGTTAGAACAAATAAAAATTGTTTTGGGGAAAATATTTTCTAAAAGTGTTGTGAAAACCGGATGCCTAGGAGGCGCCTAGTGGTCCGTGATGTTGGTGTAGTCTAGAAGGGAATGTAGTTGAGTTAACTAGGCCGGGTGCGACGCCTTGGAGGTGCCTTGTGGTCGTGGATAGTTAACCAACCTTCCTTTCGTGACGCCATGGAGGTGTCTTGGGTCGGACTACACTAACGGTTTGGTTGTTGAAACGGAATTGTTTCGGAAATGGGGAGTGACATTTGCATAACATTGCACTTCATGACATCGTGGTAAATTTGTGATTGGTTGATATTTGTTATATACTTGTTATTGTGGTTGAGAATGGGTGTTTTCCGATGGCATGATCCCGTTCACCTTTTATCTATTCATTGTATGGATTCACGGGGACATAAGAAGTGTGTCTTAGACACTTCCTACTGAACTTATGCTCACCCCCTTATTTTTAACATTTTTTCAGGATATGGAAAAGAGGTGGCGGACGACGGTCCACCACAGGTTTAGATGAGCTTGAAGACCCATTCTATTTTGTTATCTTTTGTATTAGACTCTAATATTTTGTAAATGTAATATTAACTACCTTGTGACACTTTAGTTTAATTAGTATAATGTTGTAAGTTATGGACTTTTAATTCTATCTACATTTTATGGATTGTAATTTGATGTAACTTAAGTGGGTTCCATGTTTGGATGAGATGGAGGAACGGGACTTTTGTATGTATGTAACTATTTTGGGAATGTAGTATGATATTTGAATTGTGCGTTGGGACATGATAAGTTAGATTTAAGGCCCAGTGAGACCATTGCATTTATTTTTGTATTTCTACAGGTTGTTGAGGGACGTTTTCTGCGGAAGTCATGCCGAAATTTTTATAGATTTTATTATTATTTTAGTATCTTTTCGAGTCGTTACAAATTTGGTATCAGAGCTATGGTTCGAATACCATTAGGACGACGGGTAGAGGCCTACCTAGGATTGCATGGGGAGTTGAGTTATTTGCTTACTTGTTTAATTGCTTACGTGATTGCATGCTTATATGTTTATGTGTTAAGGTGTTTAATTATTTGAAAGGCATGCTTAATTGTTTAAATGCTTATATCATTACGTGTTAAGTGGTTAATGTTGTTGTATATTATTATGATTATGTTTATCCTTAGTTGGGTATTTTGGAAGTATGGAAAGTGTTTATGTGTTTCCATTCTTGTCAAATCATTCGTGTGAGGACTCCGTTCTCGTGCGTATTTTAGTGTCATCGTAATTGATCCGTTTCCTTTTCTTATAGCTTCATGGCAACACGAAGGGATCCCGGGGAAAGTTCTAGCTCCAATCCCGTAGAAAGGGATCAGGAGCAAGTTGAGGAAGATATCTTATTGCGTGATTTGGTCCCACCAAGAGAGGGACAAGCGAGGGGGACCGTTGACCCACCTTTTCAGATAAATAGGGAGCAGTTGAGGTTAGCCATTCAGGAGGCTATTTTTGATGCATATCGACCGATAGGTGTGTCATCATCACAGTTTGTGCCACCACCGGCACCACCACCACCACCTCCAAAGAAAAATGAGTTAGATGATACTCTTTACCACATTGCAAAGTTTGTGAAATTGATGCCAACTCTGTTTGAGGGCGGTCCAGATCCGCTTGTTGCGGATAGTTTCATGGATAGGGTGGAGAAGCATATTAATGCCATGAATTTGGCAACGGACAAGTTGAAGATTACATTGGCTACTTACAATTTTGTGGGCGATGCTGAGATTTGGTGGGAGACCGTTTCTCACACCCATAATCTGGATACTAACATATGTTACATTTAAGAAGTCGTATTATGAGAAGTACTTTCCAGCGCCTAAGCGGAGGGAACTAAAGAAGGAGTTTGATGGGTTAAAGCAAGGAAGTATGACAGTTACAGAGTATGAAAACAAGTTTACATCACTTTTGAGGTTTGCACCGGGAATTGCTAATGATGAAGAAGGAAAGATTGAGAAATTTATTGATGGCCTTGATCTTACCATTAGGCCAATTGTAGCTGCTTCAGAACCGACAGAGTATGCAAAAGCAGTGCGAAAAGCTTTAGTGGTTGAGGCTGAGAGTAAGGACAACAAGGCTATCAGGGAGTGCTACAAGCACAACAGGGGTATGAGTACTTTCTCCGAAGGTCAATCAAGTAAGAAGCAGAAGCATGAGCAGTCAGGGTTCAGAGGACAGCAGCCAGTCAGATCTGCACCCACAGCTTCATTGTCCATGGGGTCTTCTAGACCGAATGTTACTTGTTTCAGATGCGGGCAATTGGGACATTACAAGTCCCAATGCACTCAGACATAGGTAGCTCAGATGATTTGTTTCAAGTGTGGGCAGCCAGGGCATCACAAGTCCCAGTGTACTCAGATTCAGGTGGCATCTGGTGGATGTTTCGGGTGTGGCCAGCAGGGCCATAGGGTGAAAGATTGTTTACAGCGGGGCAGTGGTTTGGGCAGAGGTGGAGGTTCACAGCAGAGGCAGATGCAGTCTGCCACAGTTCAGTCAGGGTTTCGACCACCACCACCACCTCAGCCGTCTCAGCCAACTATGTCAGCTGTGACACCCCCGGATTTCCGGATGCGGGTTGGCCAGGCCCACGCCCGATTACCCGAGGATATCAAAACAATTAGCAACAATCGAACACAGAATAATTATATCAAAAGAGATAAATAAAATTTGCTGAAATGAAAACTAAAAGAGTAATCCAATATTTGAAAACCTCAAAAAAAATAACTCCATTGATAAATAAGATATTTCAGATACAACTGATTCACCACGAACACATATCGTTCTCCAATACAACTCGGGAATCCATCTAGTGGACCCCTAAAATAACCCACTGAACTCAAAAGACGGGAAACAAAACCCAAGTCTACACACAAAATATACTCCTATGTCATCGGTGGAGTGAACAACTGTATCTGCTCAGCACGATCAAGCTCTGCAGCCTGGAACTAACGAACACCTGTAAAGAATAATAGAAGAGTGGGTCAGGCCCACGAACAAGTTCTAATCTAACTGCAATCCATACAGTGACCCGATACGCAGATACACCGTAAATACCTCACAATATCTATCTAGTCCATACATATATATATCCACACTATGGGACATTCACTGAACTACAATAGGGGTCTCAACCTGAATAGAAGGTAACATGCGAAAACGCACCCAAAGGTGGGCATGAGTACCTAGACCTAACAGGGTACACCTCAACCTACTATAGCTAGCTACGCATCCACTGCATATACGCGTCCTAACCAACGAGTCTGAGACTCAAGCTCATCTCGTGGTACCATAACCATATATTTAAAGTCCATTCAAATTCATTCATAGGAACTCCAATAAATCGTTCAGCTTATTCAGCTGCACAGACTTATATAAGAGATCCAGTAAGTCGTTCAGTTTATTCAACTGCACAGACTTAAATATAAGGAGAATTATGTTTTTATAATTCGTGCCCTTCTTCCCAAAATAGGTAGGACTGAGTATTCTGAATCAATCTGTCCCCAATATGCCACCGTCCCATACCGGTGCATACAATCCACAAAATCCATATAACTGATAGAACATGTAAAACTGTTCACCAATTTAAAATCCATAAGGCAGGAATTAGCATTTTAAGCTAAACCATACCTCGTATTCCACCGTCCCATACCGGTGCATACAATCCTCCATATCCAGATAAATTACAAGGCATAAATAATAAGCGCGTAATTTATAGTCCAAAACCAACCATCCACATCGTTGCAGAATAGTATTTAGTATTTCAACAACTTAAAACCAAAACCATGTAAATTACAGACTATGAATGATAGTACAGCAATTTAAAATCCAAAACCAATATCCAATTAATTACAGAAGATTTTTAAATGCTTCAGCAATTTAAATCCAAACAATTAACCATATAGTTGCAGGAGATGATTTAATAAATCAACAACTAACATCCAGAGCCTGCATAGATCACATCTAACACATCAATGACCCTATAATATATTTAAAACCATTTTATAAATATATTAAATCCCACTGGAATGCCTAAAAATAAGCCTAAGTATTTAAAACTTCATCTATCCACTAACCGTATACAATGTACATAAGTGTTATACAGTTTGATCCGTTAATTTAGAATTAACCTTAAATCAATTTAGGATCTTAATAACACCCAAAAATTAACTATTTAATCCCTCCGTGAAGTCTCATTAAATTTCTAAAATTTAATCAAGCCATTTAGTTCCTTTCTTCTGTTAGTAGCATACACCGTTGTATATTTTTACACTGCTACATCCTTTGTCTTAGAGACTTAAACTATGCAACAATAAGTTTAATAACACTTAGAATTAACTACTTAGATCCTCTGTTAAATCCCTACAGTTCATTAGAATCACTCAAAAGCTCAAACAGTGCTCAAAACACCAAACAGAGCCCTAGAAAACATTTTCTGGACGTAAAACAAATTGGAGCCGGCTCTTGGAATGGAAGAGCCGGCTCTTCCCCTATTGGAGCCAGCTCCAATTCCCTAGGAGCCGGCTCTTGCTGAAGGGGAGCCGGCTCTTGACTTTCTAGAGCCGGCTCTCTCCCTCTTGAGAGCCTCCAGTTCATCTCTGCTCCGTTTCCGTCAATCTGTTCCTTCTCCAATCAATTCCTACCCCTCTGCTTGTTTCTTAAACTGATCTAAAGGATCTAACACCCTCCTGATAGCATCCTCAAGGTTTGATTATAGCAATTTAAATCAATTACAAAGCTTAAGTTTGCTACCCAACTTAACATGCTGTTAGTATGAACATTGGAACCATATGCAAATTGAAGCGGAACGGATTGCGACACGCATTTAAACTAGAATAATAACATCCCTATAAGCTTTGTATAACCCCAGTAGTGTTCCTATATTGTGTTTACAAAAGTTGTAATCAAATACAGGGACTAAATTTACAACAGAATCAATATACTTAACGTACAGGATACTGAAACAAATATACACGAACTGTAAATATATTGGATTTTAAAACAAACAGACTATCACCCAAGCATATAATAAACATGTAGGTTTCAATCATTGATTAGTTATTCCCTAGAGATTATCTAGGTGCACAGAACACGGCCCAAAGGGAAAGAGGAAGATAGAACTTGCCTTTACAGTTTTGGATTCAAAACCATGTCGCCGTCTCCTAAGCTTTCCGACTATGTCCGAGTACTGTCAACTCCACCCTCTACTGCTCAGCCTTCCCTTCCCCTAAGTTCAAACCCTAAACCGCAACCAAAACCCTCACCTAGGTTACTCTGTTTTCCTCAAACCCTCTCTCTGTTTGCACTCTACAACTCTCTGTATTTTCACTGTATGTGAATAGGGTTTGAAAATAGGGTTTGTTTTTATTTTTCCGAAAACCCTAAGAAAATATAATGATGTATTTATAGAGGTTTAAGGAAAACGTAAATAGAATTCTGAAATTCTGAAAGGAGCCGGAAAAACTCGTGAGAATAAAACAAAACCCTAAAATTATAATACATATTAAATTAGGATTGATAACACCAGTTTAATTATTAATAAATACTAACAATTAAACTAACCCTATATACAGATATACTCAAATATACATGTATATACTTCCATAGGTAATACTGTACCCATCCCCCTCTTATCCGAATAATCCATGAGACCCAAACGGTTG